TATTCGGTATTTTGATGATTTTAGCGATATTTTTCACCGGAATTGTTTCAAATTTGGTATTTGAAATTCGTAACGGATACTGCAGCCTATGACAGAAAATTGTCTGGGCAGGTCCATGTCTTCGTATAGCCCCCATATAACGATACCTCCCGATATTCGGTATTTTGATGATTTTAGCTACATTATTCACCGGAATTGTTTCAAATTTCGTATTGGAAGATCTTAATAGGTACTACAACCTATGCCAAAAATAATTCGTATGCAGGTCCACGTCTTCGTATAGCCCCCATATAAGGGTACCTCCCCATATTCGGTATTTTGATGATTTTAGCGACACTATTCACCGGAATTGTTTCAAATTTGGTATTTGAAGTTCGTAATGGATACTACAGCCTACGACAGTAGATTGTCTGTGCGGGTCAACGTGTTCGTATAGCCCCCAAATAACGGTACCTCCACATATTCGGTATTTTAATGATTTTTGCGACATTATTTACCGGAATTGTAACAAATTTCGTATTTAAAGGTCGTAGTGGGTGGCACAGCCTATGACAAAAAAAATCGTATGCAGATTCCTCCCGATATGATACGATATGTGTGAAATATGAAGAGAACCGTATGCTTATTTCGGATATTATGATAGTTTTGGTTATTAAAAATGTTGACCCTTAGTGGGGGAGGTACCAGAAGAAATTGTCGGATTCCTACCAACTTTTTAACAGTTCTTTGGTAGATGGAAATATGGAGATGTGCCAAGTTTTAATGGAATCGGATGTTAATTTCGTGTTTTATGGGCTTCCTGGATATTAAAAATGTTGACTGTTTGTGGTGGAGGTACCAGAAGGAGTAGACCGATATATTCCATATTCACACCAGACCATTGGCTAATAAAAATATTGCGATGTGTGCAATTTGAAGATAGTCGGACATTTTAGTCACATTTTAGAAGAGATATAATTATTTAAAATATTAACTCTTTGTGGGGGAGGTACTTGATGGAGTTGACCGATATTGTCCATTTTCGCTCCTGACCTAGCATTGATGTAAATACTAGGATACAAAGTTGGAGTAAAATCATGTTATCTTTTCTCTTTCTGTGCTGTAAATTATTTTCTTTGAAAATGTTGATATTTTGTGTAGGAGGTACCAGAAGGAGTGGACCGACATTGCCCATCTCCGAACTCGATCTAAGTTTGACAAAAATATTACGATATACCATGTTTGGAACAAATCGGAAGCTCCCTTCGAGAGTTATCGTGCGCGCCAGCCAGCCAGATAGACGGACGGACATCGCTAGATCGACTCCAAGTGCCCTGAAACGGTTTTGGTCTAAAGAGAACTAGGGCTTAAAACCTTTATTTCGATGAAGCACGCTTTGGTCATATCAAATGAAATATTCCCTCTGTAGCCATATGGCTGAAGGCATAAAAATAGAACTTCCTGGGAGGCCCCTAAACCCCACCTCCCCCGTTTTCGCCCCTGTAACAATGACGTTTCATTTTGTGTGCTGTATTTGCGTGCTTTGAACATTGTTGTCTAATATTGGATAGCATCAATTTAGAATATTTCTCCCGTCCCCTCGCATCACCCTCTCCTCTCATCACACCACCCCCCTTGATCACATCAGCACATCATTATTTTGAATGCCATGACTTCAATGTCTGTCTGTTTGTCTATCAGAGATTTTTTGTTTTTATATCACAACACCTCTTCTCTCCCTCTCTCTCTTTCGATTTGAGATTTTTCAATTATCTAAAAATACGCCAAAAATTATTAAAATTCACAAGGTTTTAGTTGTTGTTAGTATTGTTTTTATGAATAAAATAACTATATATTTTATTCACGTGTGTTTGTCCAATCTCTCTCTGCATATAAGTTCGTAATCAGGGCATTTTTAAATTGTCTGGCAGATTTGCAGAGGGGAATCCCATGTGTGAATTTAGAATAAGATTAATGAGGTATGTGGCTGAAGAGTTCAATGGGGGATTTTTAAAAGGACTTTTAATAAAAGGCCAACAATTTTTGTGAGGCTCTAAATTGAATTCTGCAAGTATCATCTAAGCCATATGGCAGATTTTTTTTTTTTTTTTCTTCGTTCTTTATGGAAAAAAATTATAGCTTAGTAAAAGCTTTCGGATTTTTTTGATTTTTTTTCCAGAGAAAGGTGTTGTTACCCTGATTCGGGGAAAGTATTATTTTCTTTGGGGACGGACCAGATGATCTATACGGACCGAATAGAAATCAGCTGGTCTATTAGAAGCCTCTATAGACCAGGTAGTCGATAAGGACCGCCTATGGACCAGCTGGTCTAAAAAGGCTGCCTATAGATCAGGTGTTCCATAAAGACCGTCATAGACCAGCTGACCTATAAAAGAGCTCATAGACCAACTGGCCTATGAAGACCCTCTATAGACCAGATGGCCTAGAAAGACCGCCTATAGACCATCCGACCTATAAAGGCAGTCCATAGACCAGCTCTATAAAGACCGCCTGTAAGCCAGCCGGTATATAAAGACAGTCCTATAGACCAGCTGGCCTACGAAGAACGCCTAAGGACCAACTGACCTATAAAGACCGCCCATAGACCAGCTGATCTATAAAGACCGCCTGTAAGCCAGCCGGTATATAAAGACAGTCTATAGACCAGCTGGCCTACAAAGACCCCCCATTGACCAGCTGCCTATAAGGACCGCCTATGACCAGCTTGCCTATAAAGACCGCCTACAGATCAGCTGGTCTATGAAGACCCCCTACCAGCCGGTCTATAAAGACCACCTACAGACCAGCTGGTATAGGCGGTCTATAATGACCAACTCTGTTCTATAAAGATCACTTCCGGCTGGTCTATAAAGACCACCTCCGGCTGGTCTATAAAGACCACCTCCGGCTGGTCTATAAAGACCACCTCCGGCTGGTCTATAAAGACCACCTCCGGCTGGTCTATAAAGACCACCTCCGGCTGGTCTATAAAGACTACCTCAGGCTGGTCTATAAAGACCTAGCAAGCCTCAATCTAGCCAAAAATGTCTTTCAAGCCCAAAAATATCAAAAAAACCTCCCACAAAATTGTCTTATGGGTTTTTCTAATTTTTTCTGTGTCGGTTCGGAGATCCTTCTGAATACTTTACCCCTAGATAAGTTGACGATATCGTATAGCCCCCATACAACGGTACCCCCTGATATTCGGTATTTTGATGGCTCTACTGACATTACTCACCGGAGTTGTTTAAAATTTCGCATGTGAAGTACCTAACAGGTACTACCGCCTGTGATAGAAAATTGTCTATGTCTATAGCCCTCATATAACGGCACCTTCGGTATTTAGATGATTGTAGCGACATTATTCACCGAAAGTGCTTCAAATTTGGTATTTTAAATTCGTAATGGATACTACAGCCTATGACAGAAAATTGTCTGTACAAGTCCACGTCTTCGCATAGCCCCCACATATCAGTACCTCCCTATATTCGGTATTTTGACGATTTTTGGTACAAAATTCACCGAAATTGTTTACAATTACAATACATTTGAAGTTCCCAATAGTTACTACAGCCTTGGACAGAAAATTGTCTATGCAGGTCCAGGTTTCGTATATCCCCCCTATGACGGTACCTCCCGATACTCAGTATTTTTATGATTTTTGCGACATTATACACCGTTTTCTTTTTTTTCAAGCTTCGTATTTTCATATTGTAATGGCCTATGACAAAGTTCTCTATGTAGGTCCACGTCTTCGTATACACCCCAATATAACGGCTATATTCGGTATTTTAAAGATTTTAACATAATTTTTAAGAGAGTTTTTTTTTTTTGAAAATTTCCAATTAGTAAAGGGTATTCAAAGTTTGTCTCGGTCGAATTAACTGCTTCTTTTACTTGTTATTTTTTTTCTCGAGGATCTTTAAACGAAAACTTTTGCAGAAGGACCTTTTTTTTTAAGGATCTTTAAAGCTGAATTTTTATTGGTATTTTATAAATGATTATCGAATTGCTAAGAATTTTCTAATTTTCTTTTATTTAAAGATTCTCTTAAGGATCAACAGGAACGCCTGTTTAAGGATCTGATAGTCCTTGAGAAAAAAATCTTAAAAAGACGTTCCAGTTGATAGACAATTTTTTTAGATATTTTATTGAAGAACTTCCCATTTTTCTTCATTGAAATTACATTTGAATATTTTTAAGCCCAGAATTAATGCAAAAAAAACAGTCTTTTTATTGGAAAAATATCCCTAATGAGCAAAGAAATTATCCTGCAAAAAAATAAATCACTCATGCATAAGAAAAAACCTATTGACATCGAAGGAGGGGTAAGAGCTTCCTTGTGTTAATAGAATTCCTTTGAAGGTCTTAAATTCAATTGTGCGTTGTGATGAACACAATAAAGAGAGAGAGAGAGAGAGAGAGAGAGAGAGAGAGAGAGGAAGGAGCTAGGAAGGAGAAGGCAAAAGAAGCTTGTGAAATACATCATTAAATCTGTTTTTTCCTCAAAGCGTAGAATTTTTCTTTTAATGAAAAAAAAAAAAAAAAAACAATAATGAAAGCTTTATAGAATTTCCAACTGATTCTAAAAAAAAAAATAATTGGTTGAAAATTCTACGGAGCTTTCATTGTTGTCTTTTGTTATTAGAAAAAAAATGCCGTTTTTTATTATTAAAAATAAAAACGTCACCCACATCCTTGCATCTCTCTTCTGAGTAGTTTTGCAATTGGCTCCTTTGTAAATTGCATTTCTGAGAATTATTTTTTTTGTTTAAGGATTTGTTTATGGCTTTATATCCTGTTCAACGACACAAGAAAGCCTTTTCGTTTAGATGAGAAGTGTCATTCATATTTTAATCGAAACCGAGAACAAAAATCCACTCGGTGCGGATTAAAAATCTCTTTCCTGTCAACATTTGTTTAAGAAGTAGTTTATTTTTTTGTTGTTCTCCAGTATAAGGATTAAAAAATTTACTCCTCTTTCATTTCATGACATAAATATTTGTAAATCTTGTACTCACCATTACCGAAGAATTATCCTTCATCATATCCTTGTTGAAGGTCGGTGGCCCATTGGCAATTAAATGTGGTTCCTGTATGGGTTTCATGGGTGGCGGTAATTCCAAGCCAACCTCTTCCTCGGCCTCAAAGTCCTGCTGTGATGTGTTGAGTTGTGATGCATTTGCCTGGGCCAGCAGTTGTGATGTGTTGTTGGATGAGTCCTCCATTTGTTTGGCTGGCAACTGGAAGAGAAAAAAGAGGGATTGTGAGTATTATAATGAAAAATGTTGTTAGAATAAATTGGTTATTAAAAATATTTAAAAAAAGTAACCTGATTGAGAATCCTTAAGAATTTTTAAAGACCTAGATACGTGGAGAGCCCTAATTGGTCTATTCGGGATCTCCACTGATATTTAGACCTGAAGCTATTCATAAAAGTCTTTAAAGGACCCCAAAAGCCTTCAAGAATACCTTGAAGCCATGAAAAGATATTAAAACAATCTTTAAGTCCTTAGGGTCCGAAAGACCCTTCGAGGTCCTAAATAGCATCAAAAGGCTCTAAAATTTTTAAAACAACGAACATGTATTTTCCAAAACTCCCTACAAATATCATCAGAAGACTCTGGAGATCTTGGAGAACTATAAAGATCCTTAAAGGTCTTAAGACTATCCTAAGAGGTTTAGGAAAACGTCAAGGAGCTGAGAAGGTTAGATACTGAAGTACTTTGGATGGACCCAAGGGTCTTAAGAAGACCAAATATTGGTCTTGTGAGTACTCGGAAGGTTTTATGTTAAAGCGGTCTAAAGAATGCCAGGTATTGAAGATCATTATAAGGCCACATATCCTTATAAATCCAAACTTTAAAAATATTGTCTACAAAGCCTTGAAAATTGTGCCGAAGGGCCTGTAAATACTCTCAAAGGATCTTAAAAGCCTAAAATGTTTTATAGACACTCAAGGTCTTTAAGAACCAAGTTTCTTAGAAAGTTCCGAAAGACATGGTTTAAGGTCTTACAAGCCTTACTTTTTTCCAAAGCCTACCAAACACCAAAGTTCTTCAAATTTTTGACGACTTACAAATTCTTGAACTTTTGTCTCGAAGGGCCTGTAAATACTCTCAAAGGATCTTAGAAGCCTAAAATGTTTTATAGGAACTCAACTTGGATGACACGTTTCTTAATTATGTTGAGAACGGCTTGGTTTATGGTCTTCAAGCCTTAATTTTTTCCAAGGCATAGCAAGCAACAAAGAGCTTCAAATTTTTGACGACTTACAAACCCTTGAAGTTTGTCTAGAACGACCTGTAAATACTCTCAAAGGATCTTAGAGGCATAAAATGTTTTAAAGAAACTAAAGGTCTCTAAGATCCAAGTTTCTTAGAAAGTTCCAAAAGACATGGTTTAATGTCTTACAAGCCTTATTTTCTTACAAGGCATATCAAACCCTAAAGATCTTCAAACCTTTCAAATTTGTCTAGAAGGGCCTGTGAATACTCTCAAAGGGTCTAAGAAGCCTAAAATGTTTTATAGGAATTTCAAAGTCCTTAAGAACCAAGTTTCATGGAAAGTTGAGAAAGGCTTGGAAAGTTGAGAAAGGCTTGGAAAGTTGAGAAAGGCTACCGAACGCCACAGATTTTCAAATTTTTGACGACTTACAAACCCTTAAATTTTGTTTACCGTTTAATTTTTAATTTTCATCTTAGCCCTAAAATACTTTCAATGCCTTCCAAACCATCCAAGCCCCAAATGTCTTTCAAGCCTTAAAGGTACTTCAAGGCGCTTGCATTCTTTCTGAAATCTTAAATTTGTGCAAGACCTTAAGGTTCACCTTAGCCCTAAAAAAAGTTACTAGATCTACAGGTCATCCAAGCCTTTGAGTTTAAGCCCTAAAGGTATTCATTCATTTCATGTCTAATAAGCCATACATTCTGCTGGTCTTCAAATCATCCAAACCTAAAAGTCTTCCAAAGTCTTTAAATTCTTACAAGTCTGAAGGTATTCATTTCATGTTTAATAAGCCATAAATTCTGCTGTCTTCCCAAGTTTATGTAAAGTCTTAATGTTCATGTTAGCCCTAAAAATATTTTCACGATCCAAGTTCTATGGGAATGTTCAAACACTAAATGCCTTGGAAACCTTAATAACATTTCAAGGCTTTTATATTCTCTCAAGCCCTACAAGTCATACAAGCCTAAAAGTTTTAAAAGTATTCATAAAAATATTCAAAGGATCTAGTAAAATCAAAAATCTGCTCTACCCTCAATTCATTCATTCATCATTCAAGATCTTAAAGTTAATCTTAGCCTAAAATGTCTGCCAAACCCTAGATGTCTTTCAAGTCTTTGAAGTCTTAGAACTCCTAAATTCTGCTGTCTTATTAGGTTGAGGTCTTTTAGGAGAACTTCATTTGACAGAACATAAAATGTCCTACAAGGCCCCATAAAGCCATAAATGTCTTTCAAGCCGGAAAATCACAAAAAAAGGTCCTGCAAGGTAATGGTTTAATCAAAAAGTGCTTCCAATTTCTTTACATTCTCTCAAGCCATTTAAGTCTTCAAATCATTTAGTGTCCAACAAGCCATAAATTCCATCTTAGCCCACATACGATCCCGATATATTTCTGCAGAAATTCTAAAGGGTTGTTCTTTTCTTCTGGCAAAATATGCTATGAAATAATTTATTTTTGAAGACTGGATTTTATTCAAAACTTACAAGCCCTCAATGCCTCTCAAGCCTTCAAGTCGATTAGGTTTAAAGGCGACCCAAGCCCTGAAATATTTTAAAAATAATGTCGAGTATTACTTGTCTTCCGAATCCCATTATTATTTCAATTGAATTCCAACGTGTCTCGATATAAGCCCTCAAAAATTTGGTTTGAAGTCAGAAATTTTCTAACAAGCCTCAATCAAGCCATAAATGTCTTTCAAGACAAAAAATATGAAACAATTTCCCACAAAATTGTCCTGCAAGGAAGTGGTTGAGGACGTTAATTACTTATTGTCTTCTAAATATAAAAATTCTTTCAGTAGAATGCCAAAAAATAACCGCTTTGACCTCAAAAATTTGGTCTGAAGCCATAAATTGCCTAACAAGCCTTAATCAAGCCATAAATGTCTTTTATGCCTTCAAATATAAAAAAAATCTCCCAAAAAATTGTCCTGAAAGCAAATGGTTAAAGATGTTTATTTCTTGACAGCCATAAGAACCTAGAGATTGCAATATTGTAGACCCAAATTTTCATACATAAGTACAAGGTTTCCGAAAAAGATATTCTTCGTCGTGTCTTCTTTCCACATAACATTTCGGAAATTTTCCTGTGGAATATCCAATTTGGTCTCCTTTTGAAATACCTTAAATATCTCTCTGCAGAACGAATAACATTTCTTTATGTAGAATATTAATCTAATTTTCCTTTGGAAGGCCTGGTAAAGGTCAGGTTTTTATAGATAGGAGAAGTTTTTAATAAACTTTTCCTAAGACAACTTCTCCTAGAACGCTTTACACTCAAGTTTTTTTATTTCCATATTTTTCTTAACCACAACTTACCTTGAAGTTCTTCTCCGATGATTTTTTAACCAATAGTTTTTCGGGTGTTTTCTCAACTTTGTTCTGTGGACCTTTGCGACCGATTTGTGGCAACCATTTACGCCTGAAAAGAGAGACAAGAATTTTTTATTTATTAATTATTGTTAAATATTTTTCAAAAATATAAAAAAGGCCACACTTTCAACAAAAGAAAAATTCCCAAAAATATTCAAATTTTTTCACCTCCGCCAAAAAATGAAGAGGAAACTAAAATTCCGACACTTTCTCAAGCACTGGCACTTGTTGAACTGTCACCATGAGTTGCAAATAAGTTGCTGGCAGGCATAAACCTCTATTACCATATCGGGCAACAGCCAGCTTGTTGTTGACATTCGTCTTCAGTTTTCTTTCCGAAAAAAAAAGCCAGACAAATTCAACTCCACCCAACTAAATGTCCTCTCCCCCTCCCTTTACCCCCTCTGCTAACAGCATACATATTTGTCATTAGTATTTAATATGTTTTATGGATAAACTTATAACCCAATGACCAACAGGCAAAACAAAACCGCACCCATACATTGACACATCCTCCTCCACCTCCCAGCTAGCCAGCCAGCCAAAGTCCATTTTACTTCCAGCCAAATGTCTTTGAGGCCAGTCAATCATCCGGCAGGCCAGGCAAATTGTCGATGATTTATCGAAGTAAATAATAAAAAAAGCAACAGGATAAACGATTGACAGTTTTGTTTGGCCATTACAACAATGAGGCATGGCATGACATGGAATGCCTGCTGGTCCGCACTAATTCCTCACAAAACTATACTCATATATAACGATCCACAATAAGAATGACAACAACAACAATGACGACAACATGGGATAATAAAATAATAACAATGCCAAGACAAATACCTCCGGCCATTCATTTGTCTATTTTACTTAACCGATGAGGAGCTGGAGGTAGAGGACGACGACGATGGCGGCAAATGTAAGGCGACATTGAAACGTTGTCGGCGGTATTATTTTTTTCGCTATTCCCAAATGAGATAATTGACCGAAATTTTCCAGTTGTAGTTATTGTTGTTAATGGCGGTAAATAAATGATGGATATGTGAATGAGCAGAATGTATGCTTGTAAATAAAATTTTAATGGGGGTGGGTACACCCACAAAAAAAATGCAACGAATTTTAGTGGGAAGGACAAAGTTAACTGGCAAGCAATGGCAAAGGTTTTTAAAAGGGTCCTTTATATGACCCAAGAGCTTTATGACCCTACATTTGAAGCGATCTGTAAGAATTAAAGGTTTTTAAATTGATAAGTGACTTTCAAGCCAAAAATGCATTTCAAGCCTTTCAAGTCATCCAAGCTCTTTATGTCTTTGGAAACTTTTAAAGACCTAAAACCTAAAGGGGTTTTGGCTTCAACAGATCTTCAGGGACTTAGGAGTCCTCCCTAGTCCTAATGACTTGGAATACCTAAATGACTTGAAAGGTGTTAATATTATCCAAGCACAACAAGTCTTCAAGTAATAAAGCTCTTCAAATGCTGACTCAATATATTTTCTCTTTTGAGTTTTGGGTTCAATAGGTCTTTTAGGATTTACAAGTCTCATCAAGCCTTAAAGACTTGAAATTGTTTAATATCATCTAAGCACTTAGTCGACCAAATGTTTTTAAAACCTATAAATGTCTACCATGTCGAAAATGCAATTCAAGCCCTTCAAGTCATTCCAAACCAAAGGGGTTTGAAGCCCTGAGTGTTTTTTGAAACCTCTAAAAACCTAAAGGGATTTAAAAATTATAAATGGCTGCCAAGTCAAAAATGCCTTTCAAGCAATTCAAGTCATTCAAGCTCTAAAGTTTTTTCAAGCCCTCTAAATCCTTCAAGTAATTCAAGCTATAAAGTTTTTTTAAGCCCTAAGTGCTTTTCAAAAAAAAACGTAAAGGCTTTTAAAAGGTTTTTAAAACCTATAAATGACTGTCAAGCTTAAAATGTCATTCAAGCCCTTCAAGCTCTGAAGTTTTTTTTCAAGCCCTACATGTTTTTCTAAACCTCGAAAGCATTAAAACTCTTTAGAACAAATATGTCTTTTAAGTCAAAAAGGTATTCTAGGTTCACCAGATCTTTCAGGATTTAAAAGTCCAACCAAGCCTTTATGACTTGACATACCTTAATATTATCTAAGCACAAAATGTCTTCAAAATTTTAAAGATCTACAAATTTTGATAAAATATTTTTTTTTTGCACATTAAAGCGTCAACATATTGAATCATTAATTCCGCTAAAAGATAAAATCAAGTTCTTTGGATAACAAAGTTGGAGCAAGCGCAAGCCTTAAACATCGAATGTGTCATAATGTTCTTCAAATACCATAATGTTCCCCAAGCCCTAAAAAGACATTCAAGTCCCAATGGTGTTTCAAGTCCCAAATGTCTTGCAAGCCCCAGGAGTCTGTCAATTCCGTACTTAATTTTAAGCTTTAAAGGAGATCAAATAATCCAAATCTTCTGTTGAGCAATATACAGGCTGAGATGAAAAAACTGCAACCAACTTCAGACTGCTGTAATTTCCAAGTCACTCGTCCGACAGCTGTTAAAATTATTCCGGTGATAGCTCATTATATTGTTTACAAGCATACGAAAGCATTTTGGTAAGAATTTCTCAAAAAAAAGTTATTCGTGATGGAATTCAAGCGTGATAGTGTGATTTCTTTATATTTGGCTGGAAAACCACAAGTGGCTAACGTTAGAGCTCTCCAGCATTTAAATGTGAATAAATCTTTTGTGTCTCGTACCATCGCTCGTTACCGTGATACTGGTAGCAGGTAGCGTAGCCGGATGTCAAGGAAATGGGCGGAAGAAAACAGCAACATCAGCAGAAATTGTCCGCAGTGGCCGAAAAATTGCTCATGAGCTGAACATATGGCAGTATTCCATTCGGCAAATATTGAAAAGTGAGCCTTTCGCCTATTACAAACAAATGCACAAAGACATAATATCCTGGCCATTTTGTGATGTAGGATATAAAAAGTGTTTCAAATTGTCTCCAATGCCAAAATAAGATCTTCAAATGCATTCGATAGTCAAAAGAAGATCTAGAAGCGTTTTCAATGGCCAACAGAATACCTTCTAAGGCATTCGATGGTCCATTGAAGGCTTTGAAAAGCCATCCCTATCCAAAAGATGACCTTCAAAAATCATAAATGGTCAATGGAAGTCTCTCAAAGGGCTTCGATAGTAAATCAAATATCTACAAGAGTCAATACAGGCCAAAATGAGATATCTTCTTTTCGCCGGTCAATAAAAAAAAACTTTTAAAGGCTTTCGTTTGACAAAATAATGCTTTAAAGGATTTCCCGTATAAAACATAAGACTTCCCTTAATAAGACCCAGAAAGTATTCTACAAAATACCGGAAGACCAAAGCTTCTCTCACAAACCCCCTAAGCCCAAAAATATCGGCACGTGTAGTAGCCTCGTTGTAGTTGTTGTTCTCGAGTAAATATAATACTCAATAGCCTTGTGAGTGTGTGGATATGCGATACTTCATCATGTTTACTTTAAGACACACATCGGACGTCAGCCCATTCACCACGACAAGGAGGACATTAAATTATTTTGAATATTTTAGCTGTTGTTTTCTTGGTTTCAAGAGGACACAATAACGACATAACAACGAAACGAGACGAAACGAAAAAATCGAAACCACGACGAAATAGGAAAAATTTGCCAGCAGGGTTGCCAACTTTCAGGATATGAAGGATCGGGATTTGAAGGAAAATTGGTACGAAAATATCGACCACCCTCCATAATCCTATAAATTCTGCAGAGAAAACACATATGAAGGGAGGCGTGCATTGATGGGCTCCAGGGCGAAACAGAAAAAACTTGCCGTCAGGGTTGCCAACTTTCGGGATATGAAGGATTTATAAAAAAAATTGGTACCAATATATCGACCACCCCCTTAAATCCTAAAATACTGCAGGAGAAGCACATATGAAGGGAGGCATGTATGTGTATTGATGGGTTCCACGACGGAATAGAAAAAAACTTGCCGTCAGGGTTGCCATGTTCTAGGATATGAAGGATCAATAAAAAATTGGTAAGAAAATATCGACCACTCTCCTTAATCCTAAAAATTCTGCAGGGGAAACACATATGAAGGGAGGCATGTATGTGTACTGATAGACTCCACGGCGAAACAGAAAATCTTGCCAGCAGGGTTGCCATCTATCGGGATATGAAGGATTTATAAAAAAAAAATTGGTACCAAAATATCGACCACCCCCCTTAAATCCTAAAATTCTGAAGTGAAACACACATGAAGGAAGGCATGTATGTGTATTGATAGGCTCCACGGCGGAACAGAAAAAACTTGCCGTCAGGGTTGCCATCTTTTAGGATATGAAGGATTTTTTAAAAAAGGTGGTACCAAAATATCGACCACCCCCCTTAAATCCTAAAATACTGCAGGAGAAGCACATAGGAGAAGGAAAGTATGTGTGTATTCGGGGGGCTCCACTGTTGGGCCAGGCATCATCAGGTATCGGACAGGCAGGGTGACAAGGAAGGTAGTTAGCTCATCCATCACGACATTAAATAATTTTGAAAATTTAAGAGGACCCAATAACGACATAACAACGAAACGAAAAAATCGAAACTCCGGCGAAACAGAAAAAAACTTGCAAAGTTGGAACAGAATGTCTGTCAGGAGGGTTGCCCATATTTTAGGATATGAAGGATATATCAAACAAATTGGTACCTCCTTAATCCTTAAAATTCTACAGGGGAACACATGTATTTGGGTGGGGGGGGAGGTGGCTCCACTGTTAGGCCAGACATAATCATTAAAGACACACATCGGACAGGCAGGAAGGAAGTTAGCCTATCTTCCACGACATTTAATGACGAAACGAAAAAAAATCGAAACCCCGACGAAACAGAAAAAAACCTGCAAAATTGTAACAGAATGCCAGCAGGATTGCCAACTTTCGGAATATGAAGGATTTATAAAAAAATTGGTAACAAAATAATCGACAATCCTCTCCAAACTTAAAAATATAGCAGAGGAAACACATATGAAGGGGAGAATGCATGTGTATTGGAGTGTATGTGTATTGGGAGG